AGAATTACTTTTTTTTTTTTCTTCAGATATTTGCCATTGATTCTGGAGTGCAAGAAGGTTTGCAGTGCATGAAAGTGGGCACAAGCACAGTCTGTACTGCTTACCTTCACAATTTAATCAGATTGACAGAAAAGGTTGCTATTGTGTATGGCGCTTTTTTTTTTAATGAAACCTAGGTTTCATCTGCACAGAAAATTCTCCTGGAATAAGCTGAAGTGACAGTTAATGTACTAATACAACTGCTTATCTCGTTGTCTTTATTTCAGTACAGCATCGCTCCTTTTCTGATAGCTTGTATTTCTTTGGGTAGCTTCTACCCTGCAATGAAAGTGAGCTGAACCATTTTCTAGTTACTGTGGTGGAAGGGCCATGTCCTTGGCATTGAAGAGCTTACAGGTGGCAAGTGTGTTGACTAGTATGTCCAGTGTTTAATCTTTCCTCTCTGCATCTCTCTTAGTGCTCAGACACATGATTAAGATACCATGTGGCAACTAGTCTGCTTTAATTGCTCATGGTGTATGCATAGTAAAGTGACTTTTTTTTTTAGCCTAACCCTCTTTTATTGCAGCGTAAGCTATGCTTGCAGAAAGTTGCTGCAATTTAGCTGCCTGATAACAAATTGTTTAAACCACTGTAACTTCATCATGTGTCTGGACCATCAGACACAAGGCATTTAAGCACTACCTAAAAGGAATCATCATTTAAAAGCATCACGTAAGCTCAGTATAATTCAAAGAAGTACAATCTTTGTGTATGAAGAGGAGATGTGGATGCTTTTAAGAAGCATCTGCTTTATAAATACGAGCTATGAAAGGCTTCCAAATGTCCCCTCTGTTCGTCAAATGTGACTGTGATCTTCTCTTAGGAAGCCATCTGGAGTAGGCATGCTACAGTCGCTGCCTCGCTCGGTGCCATTGTCCTATCTGTGCCTCAGAGTGACTTGTCTCGCTACTGCACGCTCAGTATTAGTGATTGTTTCACGGGTTGGTTTGAATGTCAAGTTTGTTGCCAAGCTTTGGTGCATCATGAAAATATTTTGTCTCCAATGTGCTGGGGTTTTTTATGATTTTTTTTCTGACTTCCCCATAGAAATATAGTGAAAGGAATGAGGAGTCTGCGAGAAGTACTACGGACTGTGGAAACAAAAGCTACTCAGACCTTCAAAATGGTAAGGGCAATGGGAGATGGGAACGTGGGGTTATCTGCTATGCAGGAGTTCTCTGTTGATTGACCAGTGCAGTAGGACAAAGATGTACTTGTCCTCACTTGATTGATTACTACCTTTTTTTTTCCTTTTCTTCTTTTTTGTTTTTGTTACTTTTGCAAGTGATGTGTCAAGTAATGCCCTTAATTCAAAGACCTGCCTAGTTGAAACCTCTGAACCTTCAGACCTGGGCTTGTGGCTTGCTTTTAGTTTTTGTTTTGTTTTGTTTTGGTTTTTTTTCAGTGCATTTTCTAGCCCTGGTAGAAGTAGGGATGTGTTTGTTTTGACAGTGCTGAACTCAGGTGATAAGGTCTTGTTTTCTTTCTCACTTTTCAGTGTGTGCATGCACACCTTTTGCATTTGCGTGTAGAAGCATTAAGTACTTCTGGCTCTTGCAACAAGCTGTGCTTTTTAGGCTCAAGTGCTTTGGTGTTCTTCCTGTAAAACTGCCTTTAATACAGTACAGTACAGAGTGACTTTTAATTTTTTAATTTTTTTTTGGTGGTGTTGGCATTCTGCGTCCTGTTATCCTGAATGCCTCCTGTAAAAAAAATCATGGTGAAAGTTAGTTATGTACCTGTTTAACTTCTAAGACCTTTAACTGGTTCTTCCCTGTCTCCCCTTTAAGAGATCTTGTCCTGAAGTTACTCAGGAGGTGACGAGGTCAACAGCATCGAGAATAGCAGTCTTGAGAACATAAATGAAAACTTTGCAGCCCTGAAAGCATTGACCTTGATAAGACTAAACTTGTTTTGTACTTGGTTTGGCTTTGTGTTTTGTGTAATTCCAGAGAAGTTGAGCAAGAGAGGTGGACATAGCATTTTGGAGATCCATAGCCAATGGATGGACTGACTGTGTGTCTAGCTCACATGCAAATGCAGAGCTAAAATGAAAGTGTGAGCAGAAAGGGTATGCTGGGTGCTTTTTTGCCTAGGTTCTTCACACCTGTGCATTTTGGAACTTCTGTTCTGGAAATGAATCTTCCCATTGCCTTGGGTTTACCTTATATGCCTAATTAAGAATACAGATGCATGTGGAAGTTTGTGCGGGGAATTGGAAGAGGTAACTTAAATAATTGTCACACTAAAATGGTTGCATCCTTTTCCAGATTGAGATCAGGGTTCAGAGGATTTTTCTTGCTAGCCTGTTTTATCATTTTGCTGAAAGGAGTCTAACCATCTGCTGTTCCTATACAATGACAGATCATGGCACTCAAATGCTTCTGTCCCCATGCAACTGAGGAGAGCTGTACAACACCCCTGGGGAATTTATCCTTAAGGGGAAATCTGAAAGTGTTCATCTGATAGTTTTTCCTGGGATTTCCATTTTACTGGAAGCTGCATTTTCATTTTCTTTCTTATTTTTAAAGAACTGTCAAGAGGGCAAAGAGAAGAACGTGCTTAATTAAACAAGTTTTTGAAGCATGAACGTGAAATGCGTGCTTTTTTTTTTTTCCCTAATTTGTGGGATCACAGTGTTCTTCAAGCATAATGATGCTTTTTTTAGCCAAAGGCAGTAATAACATAAATCAGAGTCTTGGCATGTTCTGGTTTGTTTGGTCTTATTCAAAACAAGAGTGAAGCTAATTTACGCAGCTACTGTACTGTATGTTAAAATCAAAGTCACTGAAAGTATTTGGTGCTTGCCTTTTGAAAGGTTTATCACAAACTGTACTCCTGTGTGAGCCAGTAGAGATCTTTCTGTTGCTGGCATATTATTTCTCCCTACCCTCTAAGACTGTAGGAAAAAATATAGGAGAGTTGGCTCCTCAGGGTAAAACTGACTAAATAATTACACACTGAGATGATAAAATAATACTGGCTAATGTCGCAGGGCCCTAGGCCATTTTGCTCATGGTTACTTGCTATAAAAAGCATAGAAAAGCCTAGTTAGAAACAGAAGGCTTTCTGTAACTTGTCAGTAGGAGTGCATGGAAGGTCTTGGGGTTTCCAGGGAGTTGTACATGACAATATTTCTTTGAGGCACCGTCATATATTCAGGTCACTTTGCCATTTGCTAGGTACATCTATAAGACCTCCCTTTCTAGTGTTTAAGAAACAGTGCACGCTACTGTGGTTGCATTTTAAACTAATTCAGTGTATTCATGTGTGGTGAGGTGGATGAAAATAAAGAATCTTGCATCAGAAGAAGTTATTTTTCTGAATCTGATAACAGGAACTTTAACCTCAGTATGATTTATTTGGTCCTATAGATGTCATACCTCAAGTGGATTAATGCTTCAGTTTGTCAATGATACCTGTCCTCGTATTTAAAAGAAAAAGACTCTGGCCTCGTAACACATCTCAAAGTGTAAATTGTATATAAAATACATATGCAGTAGTCAGGGAAGTTCCAAAATAATATTTACAAGTATTAGGACAGGAGGGCTGAAGTTTCAGCCTGCCTCTGTTCTGTGCAGTATTTACAGCTTAGAGTGCTGTGCTGTGCTCTGCTGCTTACAATTCACAGAAGATACCACCCATTTTGATGTCTCTGTGCTTGTTTGCATGTTCGTCTATTTACAGTGCAAAAAATTAGAGATTTGTTGGGTGGAGGACAAGGACAAATGCCAAAGATAGTTTTGTAAAGTCAAGTTAACTTGCCCCCTTTTGGGCCCAGCTTGCCAGCTATGCATGTGAACCGGAAAGCAAGTGTTTAAGGACCCTTGGCCACTCGAAGGTCAAAAAAGTGCATGTGATGTTGCTGTCTCAATATAAAGTTCCTAACCCTCTTCTCTCCTCCCTCCATGATTGCAACAAAAAGAGAAAAGCAGTATGGAGTGAAGCCATAAGAGGCTGCAGGAGGAGCAATATTAACAGATAAAGGGTTGATCTTTTAAACCTAGTGCAAAAGTAGCCTCTGGGCTGGGGCTTGCATACAACATTCTGAGGCTGAGAATGCTGTGGAGTGCCATCATGCTCTAATATAGTAACATTTGTGAGATTGTCTCAGCAGTCTGTGTGGCAATCAGTTGTCTTCATTCACCAAAGTGTCCCTTGCTGTCAGGGCTTTTTGATACTTTTTTCCTACAGTATTGCACCATGTAAATGCAGAAGGCTGGCCTTTTCAGAGGAAGGAACTGCCACCGCTGTAGACTTTTTAGAAGCTGTTTTAGCTACTCTAGCTTTCTGAAAAGTGGTACTGTCATGTTGTTTGTACATCTCCTTCCCAAGGTGGAATGTGGGGAGGGGTGAATCTTTTGTGTTGGAAAAGACTTCACTGATATGTCTTTTTCTGTACTGTTCACTGATCTCTAGACTGCAGCCAAACAGCTAGCCCAAGTACTTCTCCATTCCCTCAGTGAAGACTGTTACTGGAGCCCTTTATCTGATCCGCTTCCCGAGTTCATGAACAAGGAAGATCAGTCTTATGTTAGCAATCTGCTTTGTCGGAGGCCTGAGCTGTATGCGGAAGAGAAGTAAGTGTTCTTTTTTATTTCAGTTTATGGGCAGGAGGAAGGAGAGTGCTTGAACACTCTTCAGTACTGTTAATTATGTCACTGGTTCATGTAGTAGTTCTGTGTGTTCTTGTTTTTAACTTCCTGTCAAAAGGCCTACTGAAAAAATAAAACATTAAACCTTGAGTGTGTGATTTTTTTTTTTTCCCAGGAAGGAAGAAAATCCAACTAAATAGCTGTCTTTGCTATGAAATGGAAATAATTCATTTATGGTTCAATATAGCTCATCTGGGATATATTGCAGAGCTTTTAATTGTGTGAACTTGCAAAAGAAGGTATTGCCTAGCAAATGAATTATGCATGAGATGTTTCGAGTTACTGCTCCTCTTGTGAAATGAGAAAGAGGCTGACAGGATAACTCTTGACCTTCCTCAGAGAAGTATGTTCTGTGTTTCAGTGCGTACTGCCCTCAAGACAACGTAGAAGAGGCTCTTCTTCTCCTCTTAATCAGTGAATCCATGGTAAGCCAAAAATGAGTTTGTAATACAGATAACACAAAGGAATATCTACTGTTCTGTCAAGTCTTCAGGTTGGTTTTGTTTACAGAACCTTCCCAAGATAAAGAGAAGCAAGGATTTGGCTGCTGAATAGGAAATGCTATTTATTCCTTTATTAGTGACATCACTTTTATTAGATGGAGCGTCAGTGAAGGATTTTGGGAATTGTCAGGAAGAGGAAGAGACTGCATTCACCATAGCTGCGTGTGGGTTCTGACATCGAGATACATTGTCAGTAAACAGATGTTTCCATTCAAAACATCTGTGTGGATTTATGGATCAAGAATGAGAGGGAGGGAGCCTTGCCTAAAGTCAGGCATGATGGTGGTTACCTGCTGTTTGGCATTTGCAGGATACAATATCCTGCTTACATTCCTTAGTCTGCAGGGATAATATTTTAACTGTTTCAGTCCTGAGTGATCTTTGGCAGTTTCTGATGCTGATGATAGAGGGAGTTTTGTCACATGCAGAAACATCCATAGTGAGCTACAGTGAAATAATTAGATTTTTTCTATTTATAACATCAGTTGCTTTAAAAAATCCCTTTAAAAGGAAGGGAAAATGGTGGAGAAAAACAGCTGCATGGAAAACTGTATGGTAACCTTTGATCATTTTAATGTTCTGAGAAGATGTAAACGTGCAGAAAATGTCTAAGGAATGTTTTCTGTAAATGTGTAAGGAAAGTTATTTTGCCTTGTAGCTCAAAGTGAGATTTGAAAACCTTGGAGCATCAATGATGCTCTTAGGAACTTTTAAACAGCTTTCAGATAAGTTGAAAAGAGATGCTGTGGAAACTTTGCTTTGTTTTTTGCATCCTTCAGGTTTTTTTTGGTTCTTCTGTCTCAAGTCCTTCCCCTTTCCTGCAAACTTTTTCAGAATATGACAATTTCATATTGTTTGCTTTTAAAATTTGAGGAAAAATTGAAGAAGTGGAGCCACCCCAAAATATTAAATTGACTTAATCATGTACATCTGAGTGTTACTATACTTCATACTTTTTAGTGCCTTCTACATTAAGCCTCTACAGTACATCTGCTTTGTGTTTCCAAGGGCTTTTCCTAATTGGAAGTGGAGACTTCAGGAATGAGGGCTTGTAGAACACCACATGCTCTTCTATTACAATCAGAACAACTCACGTCAGTGTGGCTTGTCAGGGCTGATCCAAGCAGGAGGAGGATCAGGGGTCTGGAACAGCGACAGTCGTGGCTGTTCCAGCATTTTCTGGGACTGGGCTTGCAGTCAGAAAGGCCTTGTGGGACCTTGAACTCTATAATCTTGTTCTGCTGAGGGGAACGCAAGTTATCCCTATTTTATCCAATAGTGTGTAAAATGGCAAACTGGTCCTGTAACCAAGTCATTGATGAAGCTGTGTGAAGATGCTGTTGATAGGACCTGGACTGCTGTGCTAACTCTAAAGTTAAATAAGTAAGCTTGTGTTTGCTTAAGTGCTGTCTTCTACATGTAGGAACTTTCTGGAGATAGATGCAAGGCATTTTGATCTGCTGCATATAAAACACTTAAATAATCGGAGATTTTTGTAGCAGAGTGCTGCAGGAACCATAACTGTCTTTCAGTTTTGTGGGAAATGGAACATCTGAGCAATAGGCTTGCCATGAGTTTATTGTTTTAATGAAAATAAAGGACAAGTGTATAGAAATACAGTTAGGAACCACAGGAGTGTGCTTCGTAAGTGAAGGAGCAGAGGGAGCAATCTGATTCTTACATATGTTTGCAATCCATAAATATTTTCCTGTAGTTTTACTGTTATGGTACTAAGAAGGGGAAATTTTGTTTAATTTATGATGAGGCATCTTTTTCCATGACAGCTTTGTTGTAGGCTGGTGAGTTTTCTCATGTACAGGTTTGTTGTCTGTTTGAAGTTTTTTGTTTTGTTTTTTAAAACTTGCTGAAGCTCATGGAAAATGAGTTAACAAGAAGCAGATTTCCAGTTGAGGTCTTTGTAATGATACAATGTTAACAACTGAATAAAACATATTTTCTTTCCTGGAGAGAGTGTCAGTGGCAAGCGATAATGATATGTTTCTGAAGGTCAGTAAGCAACATAGTTGGTGTTCCTGGATTTTTGGCTGGATTAGGCATTCTTTCAGTATTTATAATTATGAACCCCTTAAAATGAAACAGAAATGTACAATTAGGTTGGCTTGCTGGGAGCTCTCCAGCTCCTCTGAAACTTTGATTGCTCTATCAGAGCAAAACTCACCAGAAAGATACTTTCCCTGTCTGATTTTTAAAGAAACAGAAGAGCAACCATGCCATTACAACTCTCTTGCAGGACCATAAAGCCAAACAGCTGCTCCACATACCCATTCCTGACTTTTGCCTCTCCAAAATGAGCTCAAGGGGGACAAAATTGGGGAGAGGAGGAACAGCAGAGTTGTCAGCACGTGGACGGGACACAGAGCAAAGATATACTGGGGAGGAGCATAAATCATAAGAGAACCATGAAGTAAATATGTGATAAATTTGATGAAAAGGAGACATGGTAGTTTTTTCAAGAAGTGTACATCTGGAACACCTGTTTTTTTTCCCCCTGAACGATACAGAGAGGAGTCAGTGTTAGGTAGTTTGCTACTGACGTTCACTCTATTTTTGTGTTTGTATTGATTTCCTAAGGTGAGGCTAGCATCTACTTCACCAGGATTGGTGCGACTCCCCAGAAGATATTATGGGGGTTACAAGAACTGTTACTGTAAGGGAGAAAGGGAGAAAAGAAATCACCTTTAGGGTGTTGAGCCAGACCTTACATTCCAGTAAGCGTTCTCTGGCTCTTCATGTGCTGGGTTCTGGCTTGTGATGCGGCCCCTGCTTTTCTTTTTATCCCTTTACCTCTCACTGAAAGGGAGCCACTTTGCATGTTCTGGTAGGTTGAAATGAGAGTATCTTCTAAAGGGGTAATTAAGGGTAGTTGAAGTGAGAATATCTTCTAAAGGGGTCATTAAGTGTTCCTTTAGTATTTCACTCGCTCTGTCTCTGAGCCTATGTGAAAGTTTTTCAGATGGCCAAATAACACGGTAGCCTCTTAGCTCTCATAGCTTTGAAGATGCTTCTGTGGGTATATTGACACTTACAATGAAAGCCTGGGGCCTCTTTCCTCCTGGCACTTTCCCGAGTTTCCTCCTGTATTCTTTCTGTCCTGTTGAAAATGGGAACCTATTTTCATAAGCTAAGGCATCTCAGTGAACAATGAAAAGCATCCCAGTTGTTGAGTTTGGCAAGTGCTCCTCCTCTGTGCCAGCTGTTATTTAGTCACGTTGGTTTGCTGTAGAGTTCTCATGAAGGAATCTAGTGAAACAGATCAGGCAGCCTGAAGATTACCACAGTCAGGTCTGTCTTTAGCGGGGTTTATGGCCTCCTGGCTAAATTCTCATTCCATATATATAGGCCAAGTTATGGTATGGATGGGCTGTGAGAGTAGGAAAATGCTCTCCTTCAGACCAAGGAGAAGGCCAGCTGGTGACAGCCTTCATGAGCTCAGGCTGTGGTAGAATGCTGTGTTCCTATCCCATGTTGGAAAAAATGGACTGGCCTATTTTTAAACCACTAGTCCTCTTTCTTCCTGCATTTAACCCATCAAAACCAGTGGCACTGTGTTTGTGGGGAGAACTGAGGGCATATTGTGACTTACTGCACTGTGGTTTCTCTCTATCGTGCAACCAGTGGGAACGGCACTAGTTCTGCCACCAGGGACCCTGGTGCTTTGTACTGCCAGGCATAGGGAGGGGAGGTTTGGCAGGACTAGCCATCAGCTGCGGTTTTGTTTATTTTAATAACCATTCTCAGGAGTATTCTGAGTTGACTGCACTGCCCCTTAAAGTTAGCCAGAAGTTTCTCAGAGCCAGGAATGGAACACTTTCTATTACTTTTTGTGTTTACTTTTGAGGTTAAAAAAAAAAGTTCTTTGTTCGCACTTAGAAACCTTCCCTTCTTGAATCTGAGGTCCATCATACAGTTTGAAATCCCTTTATTCAGTCCTGGCAATGCTGGCTCTTACTGTTGGGGATTCTGGCTGATGTGATACCAAATGTACCAGGTAACACGTATTTATTTTTTTTTTTTGGCTCTGTGTTCACTCATACTGGAAATGAAGCTGCTTGTATCCAAAACTAATAAATTCCATGCCTGTGTAACAAAGATTAGAAATGTCATCCCCATCTTATCTCTGATTTGAATCGCTAAAGGCGATTTGACCTTGGAGAGCCTGAGAGCACGGAACAGATGGTGAGGGGGGAAGTAAGATACTGGGACTTGTCCTGTTCTTTTTACTGGTGAGAGCAAACTCATGGCTGTAAGCGTGCCTTTAACAGAATAGGATTAAACTCCTGTATTTTTAAGCATAGAAATAATTAAAACCTGTTAGCTCTACAGTTCCTAGTTTTATAAAATAATGCTGTGCAACAAATGGGTTGGCAAAGGAGAAGAATCTCTTGTTGCTTTTGTAGGATTTTTTAAATTTTTTTTTAAATGACACCAAGTCCAGTGATGATAAAACACCTGGATGACCATCACGAGTATTTTCTTGAGGGCTATGGGACTATGGCAGCTGAAAGAGACAACTGAGGCCAGGATTGCCTGCTCTGTTGGTTCCTGCCAGATCAGTCGTGCGCTTACAGTAGAAATCCGACTGTCTCTTTAACTGGTCTGCAAGGCAAAGCTATGTGTTTGGGACCTGCAAAGATGGATTGTGGGATGTTTCTGGTGGGAAACACACTACCTCTGTTAATTACCTCTTGAATAAATAGTTCTAATGCGAGTTGCTGGAGAAGGGGTAGAGAGCTTTTTTCCTTCTGCTTTGCAGTAAGAAGTCTTGTTTCCAAACTTGGAAGGAGGATGCAAATTCTTGGAGGATAGCTTTCTAAGTGCAGATTACTGGTAGTAAATATATGACTTTGTTACCCAAGACAGTATCCATAAACAAACTTCATTACTTTCTCCCTCTCTCTTCA